TGAAGATTCTGGAAGGGACATAAACCACTTTCACATCTACCTATTAATGTATGGACTTCAGAGTAATGTGGCCTATATCAATTTTTCCAGGATTGTTCTTTTGTTGTTGTTTTTCTCCCTCCTGTTTCTTCTTCATAGGAAAGGAGGCTTCACAATCTGCTAAAAATGAACTTTTGGGACCTAACCCGTCTGGGAATAAACTGTCCTAGCTATGAGAGATCAGATAAAACCTGAGACCAGAAACTCCTTTTCTTTTAAAATGCTTTCTCCAAAATATTTTTTAAAAGAAATGTGAAATACAAATGTCTCAGGCCCCAAAATTACAAAGCTAAGGGAGAATTCAAGCTGGGAACTGCTCAAGACAAGCCTGCCTCCCATTCTATTCAATGTCATCTCTCTGCTCAGAATGCATATTCTGACTGCCTCCTTTAGAAAGCCTTATCAGAAACTCCTAAGAATACAACCATTTGTCTCTCACCCACCTGTGACCTGGAAGCCCCCTCCCTGCTTCAAGTTGTCCCTGCCTTTCTGGAGGGAACCAATGTACTTCTTACATATGCCAATTTGATGTCTCATGTCTCCCTAAAATGTATAAAACCAAGTGGTACCCTGACCACCTTAGGCACATGTTGCCAGTACTTCCTGCGGCTGTGTCACAGGCACACATCCTGAACCTTGGCAAAGTAAACTTTCTAAATTAACTGAGACCTGTCTCAAATTTTCAGGGTTCACATACTCACAGGAATAATTGACTACTAGATAGCTCCAGTCTAACAGCCACCTCAAACTAAACTGATGGACAATAAAACAATTTCACATTAACCCATAAAATAGTTCTTCCTCTATTTAAGGAGAACAAACTACTACCTTGAAAATTGGAGAGACAAGCTGAAAACAGAGAAGCATAGTTTACAGGGAGCAGAAACTGCCACTGAAGCCAGCAACTTAAAAGGCAACTACCTAATTACTGAAGACTGAGTGTAGACTAGCTTGAGAGAGAAAATATTCTGGAGAGTCCATGGGGGGCCCCTGCATTTTCATAAGTTTTACCTCTATAAGCCCACAAAGTTCTCAGGATGAAGATTAAAGAAAAATTTCCTCAGGGTTCTAGCAGATGGATAGGAAATAACCATTCAAAAAATACACCTAGAATGTTATGTTCTCCTTAACAAACACCTACCCTTAAAGACAACTACTTTACCAGAGCCTAACCAAATTAAGTTTCATCAGGGCCTGACATGGGGAAAGGAAATACCCAACTCTGGCCCCCAATAGCCATCTTTCCCCCACAAACACGAAAAAATGTACTGAAAAGCACTTGTCAAGGTCTCAGCCCAGGGACAAGGGCCCAATAAAACACTAAGAGCTAATCACAGGATTGTAGAATACTTCCCCTCCCCCTATACCTTACCATTGATAGGAATTAGGAACAAGAAGCAGGGAAATTCTGGGAAAAAGAGGGCAGGTCCCTGGTGAGGATCCCACCCTGAAGCCTGGAATCACGGCCCAAAGTGAGAACATACATCTGTGTTTTCCTACTCCAATGTTGCCTATTCCAAAACCACCCGTGGCCTACCCCCTACCACCTTATCCTGTGCCCAAAAAAACCCAGGCTCAGCCGGCAGAAAGAGAAGCAGCTGGATGTTGGAGACTATGATTGGACGTCAGAGTTAAGCGGCTTGACTTCAGAGGGACAGCTTGACAGCGTAGCTTTGAAGAGGAGTCTGGCTGGGGATAGCTGAATTTCAGGGGAATATTACCTTACTGCTCCATCCCCTTTCCAGCTCCTATTCCCATTAAGAGCTGCTTTCACTGGCAATAAAATCCCCCACATTTACCACCTTCAACTCATTCATGTGACTCATTTTCATTCCTCCTGGATGCTGGACAAGAACTTGGGTGTCACAAGTGCCAGTGCAAAAGGCTGTCATGCTGACCCTCCACTGAGCTGTTAACACTTAAGCCGTCTGTAGATGGCAAAGCTAAAAGGGCACTGTAACACTTCCTCTGGGGTTTCATGGGTACCCTCCCCTAGATGCTGCTGGGGAGCGAGCAACAAGTTCACTCTTGCTGGCGCCCAAAAGCACTCACCCTGGCTCCTGCACCCACTCACCTGTGCACTCCAGTTTCTACCCATGAAGGAGTCACTGGTTCACCACCATATTTACAGGGCTCCTGTGTAATAAAGGGATTACAACTGAAGGAACTGCAAGATTGACCCTATTTAAGGAGTCCCTAGGGAAAGCATAAGAGACAGAAACAAGGACAGTAGAGGAAGCTGAAGCTTTACACACTTACAACTAAACAGTAAACATAGCCTAACTCCTAGCCACACAAATGTAAAACACACTACTGATCTATTTAATCTCAGTTCATATTACCTACACAATATGTTCAGCTTTCAACAAAAAACTGTAAGGCATATGAAAAGGTTAAAAAAAAAGTAAGTATCAGAACGACACTCAGCTATGGCAGATATTTTCTAAGTGTAAGACTGTGAATTTAAAATAATTATCATTAATATTCTAAGGGTTCTAACGAAAAAAGTGGATAATATTCAAGAACAGGTGAATAGTGTAAGCAGAGATAAAAACATTAAATAAGAATCAAAAGGAAACATGACCATGTAAGGAATTAATATAAAGGCACTGGACAGAGAAATGGAAAAAAGGTTGAAGAAGGACTAGTTGTTTTACTGCAATGGGAGACTTGTCCAGTATTGTAAAACTCAAGGCAAGGATCTAACACAAGGAAAGAGAAAGTGGAAAATTGACAAATATTTGCTTCATGAGATCCTTTCCAAGATCAGGATTAAGTCCTAAAAGAAGGAAGATCAGAACAAGTAACAGATTAGGCCAAACCAAAAGGTTGTAAACTTGTCTGTGAAACTTCATTTTAAATAGATAACAGGCTACTGCGAAAAGTGCATCTCCCACGCTATTCTTTTCTTAGTTGACAGTCTGTTAGGAAATTGTCAACATTTAAGACACTCTTTTTCTTACACTCCCTACTATGAGATTTGGATAGTTTTTGTATTTTTCAATTTAATAAATTCAATTTTCCACTAAAATTTCCACCCCTGAAGGTGAAAACAAAAACCACACAAGATAAGCACTAACCAATGTTACTGAAGTACATACTCAATCCACAAATATTTATTTAGCACCTTCTTCATTCTAAGCAATAGATACAAAAGTGAACAAAACAAAAATCTCTGCCCTTTTGGAGTACTATCCTTAGGTGAAGATGGATTAATAAGCAGGTATACAATAAACTTTTTTTTTTTTTTTTTTTGAGACGGAGTCTCACTCTGTCCACCAGGCTGGAGAACAATGGCAGTGATCACAGATCACTACAGCATCAACTTCCCAGGCTCAAGTAATCTTCCCACCTCAGCCTCCCAAGTAGCTGGGACTACAGGCACATGCCACCACGCCTGGTTCAATTTTTTGTAGCGATGGGGTTTTGTCATGTTGCCCAGGCTGGTCGAAAACACTCAAGCTCAGGCAATTTGCCCATCTCAGTCTCATAAAGTGGTGGGATTAGAAGCATGAGCCACTGTGCCTGGCAGGAATAAATGTTATGGAAAAATTAAAGCAAAGGTGAGGGATTGAAGAGCTGCAAGCGGGGACTATTATTACTTTCTATGGGTGGTTAAAGGACTCTGATAAGGTGACATCTGAAGGAGGTGAGTCATGTTGCCTAAGGATGTTGTAGCTGTCACAACATCCAAGCACAAGACATTACCTTTTCTAGTTTACATACAAAAATACTTACCATTGCGTTACAATTGCCTACACTATTAAGTCCAGTAACATGCTATGCAGGTTGGTAGCCTAGAAGCAACAAATGCATTTTCATTATTATGCAAACACCATTTAGTATACTTACACAAACCTAAATGTAGAGCCTACCATAGCCTTGGTGTACAGCCTACTATAAACTTGCAGCCTAGGTGTATAGTAGCCTATACATCTATGTTTGTACACGTACGCTAGATGACGTTTACACAATGCTGAAATTGTCTAACAAGGTATTTCTCAGAAAGTATCACATCGATGCATGACTGTATTTAGTTATGGGAGTGAGGAACAGGTACCAGCAAAGGATCTAAAATAGGTGTAGCCATGAACCAAGACAAGAACTAGGAAGAATCGTTTTTCAGAACCCAAATACAGCTTTTCAAAACTCAAAAAGTGATAAACTAGACCAATGCTGCTGAAGGGTCAGTAAAGAATGAAACCGTGGATGGCCATTGTATTTGGTTACATAACTATCGCTGACTTTCACAGAAGCTATTTTGGTGGAGTGGTTGGATGGACAAAAGCAATGAGTACCATATTCAAGAGAGAATGCAAGGTTCTCTCCCAAGAACTCTCAACAAGTTCCGCTGAAGAAAGATTAGCTGAGGTGGAGGAGATTGGAGAGGGGAAGAGAAAACAAATTAATTGGGGAACTTTAGGGGAACTTACTGGCCAGCATTATGGCCAGCACTAAGGAACCATTTTAAAGTAAGGCAAGTCCACATAGCTGGTGTGCTTGTTTCCAGTCTTGTTCAATTGTTGCATAACAGCAGAATGTTGGAAGCAGGAATGGGTTTTAAGGTAAGATGATATTGAGGAGACAATAAAAAACCTCTACTACGGAGCACAGCAGTGTTCGGCCTAGTGGCTCACAGAAGCGGGCTCTTGAACATCTGGGCACAGCATGAAGGCATCAAGCTTAAGAGATTGCAGGCCTTAACAAACTACAAGTGCTAAGAGAAAGGATGGTTCTAAACAAACCAGGTCTTTTCTCATACAGCAAGCACAGCAGTAGAGGTTTTTTCAAAAGGCCGTAGTAGGTCGATAAAGGAGGCACTGTCGCCTGGGAGCTTCGAGGTCTACAGACGGAACCCAGTTAGAGTAAGGCCCTTTCCAAATCCAGAAATGGCATCCATAACAGAAAGGCACCCTCCGGGACCCACGGGGATGGGCTACGGTTTTAGCGCCGGAACTTACAACCCGAAGCTCTGCTGCTTGTGACTGCCTGCCGGAGAGACTGGCATGGTAGCGACCAGCTGGGGAGTGGTCCACCACCTCTTTTCTGGCCGCCTCTGAAGTCTCTGTACCTCAAGCCCCGGCGTTGGCGGCTCGGGGTAAGGCTCGAGAATGTTTGCCGGGCGTCATGGCGACGGTGGAGCCCTGGCTCAACAAGCGGCCGCGCGGTTGGCTGGCGGCACGAGGCCGAGGAGGAGGGCGGAGGCGGAGGGGAGGGCAGAGGGTTGGTGGAGCGGGAGGAAGCTCCGGACGACGACTAGAAGAAGGAGGCGGGCGGCCCGGGCCTCAGGCCCCTCCCAGGCTCTGAGTCTCCCGGCTGCAGGCGGATGGATGGGGCTTCTTCAGGCGGTGGCGGCAGTAGCGAAGGTGGCGGCGGCAGCAGCGGCAGCGGCTGTAAGTGCAGCCTCCACAAGCCATCTCTCCCCTTTTGTTCCAATTTGGGATGAGGGGTTCCTGAGGTGTCCTCAGTCCCCTTTCTCTCCTTCCCCTCCCCCACGGCAGTGTACCTCCCGGAAGACCATTAACTTCCGGGGAGGGACTGCCGCAGACTGCGCCTGGCTAGCACGCCGCGCGGACCGGTGTCGACAGCCGAAGACGCATGCGCAGCTTCCCTCCGCCCCCCCCCCCCCCCCCCCCCCCCCCAGCGCCGCCTTTTTTCCTTCGCGGTGGCGGCGGCGCGCTGGGAATCCGTTGCGGAGTGAGTTCGCCTCGCCCCGTTCGCTTCCGCCCCTTTCTCCTGGCGGGCCTTGATCCCAGTCGGGGTGGGGCTAAGCTGACCACCCCGCTGTGGCTCCGCCTCTTTCCCCTGTGTTTCGGTCGCTTGTGTCTCAGCCCTGAGAGGCTCCTGTTTGCACTGCAGCCTTTATGGTGAGCAGCGCCCTGGGCCAACCTGCTCTTTTCGGAGAGAGTGAGGAAGGGAGAAGAGACTCGAATAGGGTATTACTGTGAGGAAACGAGGTCCTCCTAGTGCGTGGGAGGATCCCTTGGGACAGATGTCCGCCACTCTTCACTCTTGTTCTTTCAGCTTGTAGTGGCTAGGTCCCTGGCTTGGAACCTATCTGTGGTCCCTGCATGCTGTGTGACCTTGAGTCAGTCACTATCCCTCTCTGGGCTTCAGTTTTCCCTATTTAAAGCTTTTTCCAACGTGAAAATTCTGTAATTCTGCAGAGGAAATTATGTAATTACAAGACTGGCTTGTCTATTGAGGCCGCTTCACTAAAATGACCCGAAGTTGACTGAACCTTCTTCACTCATGGGTGGAACGAGGCGACCAATTTATTGGGTCACTTTTATTCCTTTACCATTGGTTACAAATTGCATGACTTAAGGCTCATTAAATGTTTTTCTACAATTGTCATGGGATCCTTGTCCTAATTCCCGACCGTCACATTTTAAAAATGTTAAACAGGGTGGATGGTGAGCATGTATCATCGTTTCTGTCTCCTTGCTACTGAGGCTCTCTTTCCTTTGATCCAGATGGTGTGGTCGCTCGATTCTCCCAGTGCCTGGCTGAGTTTCGGACGTGGTTAAGAACCAACTGGTTGAGGTTCAATGCAGACAAGACGGATGTGATGCTGGTAGGCAGGGGTACACTTGGAGATTAAGGGAGGGAAAATCCAAACTCCCTCAAGTAATATAAGTATTATATTACTCTCCTTATATGTTCCAGTATTTGAGAACTGATGGGCCAGTAATTTCCAGAATTTGGGTGAGATAAAAATAACATGTCAACAATTTAACAACCATAAACATACTAGTTTATAATATTCTGATAAAATGAGGCTACTGAATAAAACTGTAAAAATTATGAAAAGAAAATACAAAACTGTTATTTGAAGAACCAGAAACCTATATAAGTTTTAGAGTGGCATTAATAAAAATGAAACCAACAATAAGTTGACACTGATTGTCACTATAGATGTGGGGCTTCCAAATGTAATAGGTTAAGTTTTTTAGTATTTAGGTATTTTCAAGCACATTAGTAATTATCCAAAAAATTTTACCACCACATCATAAAGATAGGGTATAGGCTGTTGCTTTTAAATTAAAATTTCAGGAAATAGTTTATAAACTAACCTTAAAAGAGACTCATGGACCCTGAAAATTGTTAGATATAGAATTTTTTTTTAGAGTTTTGGATGTGTTAATCTATTTCAGTCAGCTAACCCCAGAGTCTAAATTGTTACAAGTACAGTATTTTCTTGGTGTGTTTCGAGAGGTACCTTTTTGGATTGCATAACAGATTTTTATAGTATAGATATATGTATATTACTTGTATTTGAATCAGGTGTTGGTACTGAATAAAAGGTTATGTTTCTTAGGTATATGTAAATTGCCAAAGAAGTTTGTTCATTGGTTCATTTAAGATACTGGTTGAAGTAAGATTGCGATCCTAAATGCTTTTGTTAAAAGCATAGTAATAACTGAGGGGTTTGTGTGTGTGCGTCTTATAGCCTCTATAAAATTGTTTAATAACTTTTGAATGGAAGATTTGGTAAATTGCTTACAAATAATTTATCAATATAATAGCAGTTTTGAGTAGCTTAATGTCATAAAAATTAATGTTAGATTGCCTGAAAATAAGGAGGCTTTAGGTGGGGAATACGAGCTAAAGAGGCATTTATTCAGGCTTTGTATAGTGTTTTTTTGTTTTGGGACATTAATCACAAACCTCACATAAAATTGAAATTCACCATACTTTTTTAGTTTAAAGATTTTATACACAATTCCAACAACTGCTGTTTTTGATATCACATTAATAAATAACAAAGTAATAATTTTAAGCAGACAGTTAATGGTGCATTTTCTTATGCTTTTAGCTCTGTCATGTCCTATTTTCAGCTCTTCTAGTAGGAATAAGCTTTAAAGATAATTTTTTGTTAACCCAAGTATAAATATTAACTGTTTGCATTTGGATACAAAGAAGGTATCTGTTGAATTAATCCAAAGTGCTGAAGAACTAAAGGTAATGGATGAAAACAACAAGGAGGTAGATTCTGGCTTAATAAAAGAAAGGATGTTTTAAACATTTGAACTTTTTTTTAAAAGAGCAGCCTCTTTATGAGATGTAATGGGTCACTGGAGGTGTTTAAACATAGGCAAAAAGCCTGCTAGTAAAAGCATGATGAGAGATTCCTATCTTGACAGGGTAGATAATTGACTAAAAAGACCTCTAAGGTCCCATCCACCACTAAAATTCTTCAACTAGCAAACGGTTAATTTTTATATATTTAATACTGAAGAGGATAAGCAGCGTTTTTGAGAAAGGAGTTTTGTTCTCTAAGGTGGCTCCTGAATATTTTACAGATAAGTGTATCACTAGAGTAAAATAACAGTGGAAGGATACAGAATTCAGTGGTAATGTGTTACCTGTGAATTGCAGAATTAGAGCTGTTCCTCTTTTGTAGTATCTGAATTTAAAACACCCACTGAACTCGCATTTGTAAAAAGGGGAAGGAGAAAAATTTAGAGAGATTTTTTTCCCTCAATAATACCATTTAAAGCTAGTAATATTGACACAATATTAGTAAACTTAAAAAATTATTTAACAGTAAGTTAGATACCTATTCAGAAATGTTTCAGACTTCCATTTTCCTGACAATATTAGGATTTATTCAATGGGTTAATAGACTATGATCCCCTGCTCTTTATCACAGTTAGGATTTCTAGGGGTAGTTTAACTGAAAAATCAAAGATTCAGTGTACTTAAGCAAGCATGTTATTCCTGTACCTTGTATTTTAACACTTTTAATTTTCCTTTGGTAGCCAGCTAAATTTCATAAATTAGTTTTCATGTTTTAATGGAAAACTTAAAAACCGAGTTTGTACCTTTAGGCCCCTAATTGTGTCTGTATCCACTTCAGGTCCATGTACATCCATTGTTCTTTGCCTTCAGCTCTTTTCATTAAGCATATTGATTGAAAACTATTTGGATATGAACTGACATTTTTAAAAAGTCATTTTTATTTCAAGTCCAAAGGATTGATATAATTCAACAGGGTAACTGAGAAACTGTATACTTCTGCTAAAATATTTATTCCCCCAAGGAATCCTGAAAAATACTTTTACATAAATTTTCTAAAATATAAAATGAAATACTGTACAGTACAGTTAATGGTAAAAATTGTTTGTAGATTTGGGAACCTTAAAGTTTTCCTTTCTCTTCTTTCCCTTGCTTTTCTTTCAGTAGAAAATGTGCATCAGATGTTTATGTTTAATTGGTTTACAGACTGTCTGTGGACTCTTTTCCTGTCAAATTACCAGGTAATGTCCTTTCACTTAGCAGCTACTTCATATATCTGTAAATGCAGTTTATTCATGCACAGATTATTATTGGACATAACAGTTTCAAATTAACGTTGAATCTTTGGAAGTAGGCAAATGCTTGATAGAGTCTAGAATGTTAAGGGAATATAAATAATAGCTTCCCCTATATAGCATTATAAGTATAAACTTTAGGAAAAATTGTATATGCATACATTTATGCAGTATATTGTAGCATTGGTTCACATTATTTGGAGGGAGTGAATAATTCTCATATTTAAGTCGTTGATTTTGGTAGTCACTTTTGAAACTTCATTAAGAGGAACCCTTAAAGATTAGGAAAAAAAATCCCAGTCTTTTGAAATAAAGACTTTAAATCTGGTTTAGTAAAATATGTTCCTTAAAACTGGTTTGGTAAAATATGTAAGTGACTGTTTTAATGTCACCTTTGTGTTATTCCGTATCTGCCTTAGTATAATGGAAGTGAAACTTGTTTGTTACTTTGAAATCATTGGCTCTGGCCGTCATCAGCATTGGCATCATGGTCAGTTGGCAGCTCTAGGCCAATACATTAAAATTAACTTTCAAGTTACAAGCATTTCAGGCATTGCAAGAAGTACGTTCTCCCTCCATGCTGTTAAATAGATGATATCCATAAAATAATCAGTTTTCAGTATTTTAAGTTTTGTCTAGTTGTGCAAAATTCAACCAGTACATAGCTGTGTAGCTACTGGCATTACAGAAGTGTGTGAGAAAACTCAAATGACATGAGGATGGCAGACTGCCCATCACAACCCCCTTACATTAATTTTTTCTCTGACCGCCCTAGAGATTTGGGGATATAGGATTTTACGTTTCCTGTTGGGAATCTACTGATGGAGAAATATTTGTCAAGGCATAACCGCTTTGAAAGCAGTTCTTGCTGCT